GCAGGTGGTGTGTGTGTGTGTGTGTGTGTGTGTGTGTGTGTGTGTGTGTGTGTGCGTGTGTGTGTGTGTGTGTTATTGTTGAGTGGGTGCTCAAGTGGGCTTGTTTACCATTCTTAGCTGCTGTGAGGCTGACTGGCCAAACACTCCTAATGAGTTCCTCCTTACACACACACACACACACACACACACACACACACACACACACACACACACACACACACACACACACACACACACACACACACACACACACACACACACACATACACATACACATACACATACACACACAGACAGATCCAGTCTTCTCTGAAACATGGTTGCAGCCACTGGGGGTCATTGTTCCGTAGCTCCAACTCAAACTCTGTTGTCATAGTTTTGCTGTTGTTCTGGTGTGTGTGCGGTGTGTGTGTCGGTCAATGCCAGCGTTAGTTGCCAGTCTCAGGTCAGGCACTCGAACACATTTGGAGCTCCCTTTTATGCTCATTTTCAGGTTTTACATTAGTATGTAGTGTCTCTACTGGGACATGTCTCCATGCTTTAATGTTCAAAAACCTCTATTTTTTTCTCATACCGCCTGTGCTGCAGCACCTCTTTTCACCCTCTGTCTGAAACCAGAGCCTAGTCTACTCTGATTGGTCACCCGCTTAGAGATGTCCCGCCCCAGCCTCCCCCACACTCTGGAACTCCCTCCCCAGCCACGTCAGATCCGCCAACACTCTCACATCATTCAAACAATCCCTCAAAACTCACCTTTTCACTCTTGCCTTCAACTCCTAATCAACTAACCCCTCGCCCTTATTCCTCATAGCTTAGCACTTTCTACTTTTGTTGTTATTTTTGTTTTACTTGTTTGTAAGCGCTTTGAGCACCAGGAAAAGCACTTTATAAATGTAATGTATTATTATTAAAGGTACACCAACCCAATTATCGGCGTTGGTGGGCGTCAGGCCGACGATGAGCATCGACACGCCCTACTCGGATTGGTGTGTCCCGCCTTTTCGGCCGAAAACCGCAGTCGGCCAAAGAAATCACTCTGATTGGCTGTTCAGCTTAGCGAATCAGAAAATCTGAGATTTCATTGAACTCCAGCTCTCGACACAGGTTGGGGAAAGCCCCATGAGCTTCTCGCTGTAGAGTGAACATGGAACACGCTATTTGTTATTTGTTTATATCACGCAGTCTGTTCTTCTTCTCTCTGTGTATCACGCAGTCTGTTCTTCTTCTCTCGGTGTATCACGCAGTCTGTTCTTCTTCTCTCGGTGTATCACGCAGTCTGTTCTTCTTCTCTCGGTGTATCACGCAGTCTGTCTTCCGGTTGTTGCCACTTTTGAATGACGAATACACACTACCGCCGCCTGGTGGTAAGGAGAGTTATTGCCACTCATGCATGCGCAGTTCGTACGTGCTTCTTGGCTCGTCGGCTGAAGTCCGGTGTGTCCCAGTGCGACACATGGCCAAAATGCAGAGACGCGCGGCGACGCAACAGTCGGGGTCCGTTCTTTGTTGTCAGATTGGTTCACGTACAATGTGTTGGAGCACTTGCTATTAGAGTGTTACATAGTGATGTCACTATATAACAGAAGTAAACAAGGGAGGCATTTTGAGCGTGGGAGAGAAACTCCAGAACTTTGGGATTGTAGCCTTTGCAGACCATTGACATGCACTAAATCCTATAACACACTACAGGAGAGGCAAACTGCGTTATAATAAATGAGAATAAAGGATGGAGATTGCTGTGTTTCAATGATTTTATTCATTTATGCCCGTCTTTCGTTTTTATTCACAGTGGCACTTCCTTACCCTCTTTTTTTCATGCTTTAGATCGCTCTCTTTCATCTTTGTGTGTTTTTCTCTCATTGAGATGCAGCATCTCACGATCTCTTCCCCTCATTACCTATTTCGCCTCGTTCTTTCATGCCTTCCTCTTTTGTTCTTCTCTCTAGTTA